CCACAGCAACAACACGCTTGTGATTCACAAGTTCCTGATATCTCAAATGAAGATGAATTGCCAAGAACCTCTCAACACTTATGGGCACAACACTCAAAAAAGAGGAAAAGGAAAACATACCTACTGTTATCGCAAAAGCCAAATGGATGTTCCAGCCAGGGTCTTTTTCTTGTAACCATTTTACCAGAAGTGAGGTGTAAAGAGGCTGTCCCAACAAACCAATACCAACATCTGAAACAGCAAGACTCACCAGCAATGTTTTTAAAGTCTTTGGCAACGACGAAGTTTTTCTTATCGCGTGGATTGTTACAATGTTTAACATGATGGCGGTAGAGGACAGAAAATTGTTGAAGACACAATTAGCGATATAAGTCGAACGGAGGTCTGCAAATTCGAAGACTTTGGGAGAGCGCTGCAGCAGAAATTCACAAAATGATTCCAGGGCATCGACTCATGTGTTTAACTTCAGTGAGAGTATGACATACAACAACGTTTACAAAATTTGCAGAGCTTGCTTCCTTCTCGCCATAAACCAATTGGATCGCCGTTAAGCTAACATGATCCTTAGTAAGCGAAGTCAATTCAGTACTCTATAACTCGCGACTTCAGATATCGTAATTGTCACAGTTAGCATTGCTGTTAAAACTGGCAAGGAATGAATCGTAACGAAAAATTCTTCAGGGCACTAATCGTTTGACTTACGAGATGATCTACACCAAGCTAAGATAGTTTTGGTTTCCCACGCCAGCTACCAACTGGATCACGTAAGCGCAAATGATTTCTGTCTTTGCTAATACAACTACCAATCCTCAGTGAACGACAGCAGAAAAGTGTTCCACACGTCACTCTGTCACGGTCAGATGTTTTGTCTGCAAAAGAAATATACCTCAAGCGACTGGTTTATAAAGTTTGCGGTCAAATTAAAATAAAATTGCTTAATTATATCCGTGGGTCTTGACGTTTGTAAGTAATATATCAAACACGAAAGAGCGTGTATGACCACATTTCCAAACAGCAAGGACAGAGTTGAAAATACGACGCCCAGCGGAGTATTTTTGGCGAACTTTGAGGTGAAATAAAATCGTTAAAATTTGTGCTAATTAAGATCAAATATCCAAACACCGTCACGGTCATGACTGTTCCTTCGTTCAAACTCGATGAATTATTAATGAGTTTGAGAATAGCTATTCAACCAGCGATGGACCAGCATCCCATCCAGGGGGACTATCAATACTCCTGGTCGCTTTATGCTACAGAAACAGGGATAAACTCCGGCCTTATGGGCAACTTCCCTGACGCAGACTTCACGTTTTTGCTTTTATAAAAGCGAGAGGTAACTGGCGTGAGTGTCAGCTCAATTAATCAAGCATTGTGTTTGTGAAAACTTAAACGGCTGTCAATAACTTGGCAGACGTTTTACCCGCGGTAAATGAAGAATATTACTGAATGACGAACTTTAACTACATTATAAGTGCACTGATCGAAAATAAATTAGCACGTGCATAGTTATTAGTTCATCTAAGACTGCCAAAAGGAACCACTGTCAACAGTGAACCAAATGAAAACGGTTGCTTAACCTGAAGCCACTTAGAAAATTAATCCATTGAATACCTGCAAACTGCTGCCAGTTTCATCTGCTGTTAACCTCAAGTTTCTGTTATGCAAATGAAAGAGACAACAATACGGCCAGTAGAACTGCTATTTCTTGAAACAACGTAGCAACGTATCCATCAATATTCTGATCTGTGATCAAATTTATTCCAGGCTATTGCGATTAATCCTTGCTTAAAGCATAAAACTACCATAGAACGCAACTGTGTCAGAAGTTACTAAGCTATATCAATACCTTATACTCTTATACTCCTCAGTATGTAATGCTCTCCGCAAAAGCGACTATTGCATATGAAGTAATCAGTTATTTATTCCGGGCTCGGCTCCACAAGTAGGAGCGAACAATAGTAACAAGATCAAATAAATTCATTGATAAATAAAGCCTTTTCTAAAACACCGGAAAAAGACACAGCGGAACATGTGCTGAACAACTATCTTAATAGTGTTAAAACACTTTGAGTCAGTTTGACAGGATCTCGTTTGTCTTCAGGCAGCTAAATTTAGACTGCTCGTAGTTAACGTTATACACAAAAGGCGTTTATCAACAATAACAGCAATAAATGTGGGAAATAGATGGCATAACACTGCCTATCCTAAGATAAATGTGATGCGCGATTTCTGAGCCAAGGCATGTTCCGCAGTATGTCCATGATAGCGTGTCGAATGTGTCTCGTCTTCCAGCAGTAAATCACTGGGTTTAAAGATGAGTCAAGGTGAATGAGAGTCAACGAGAAAAGAGAAAATCTCTTCAAAGAGATATTCGGTCCGTTGCTTTCTATGACGACCACACTGATAAAGTAAGGCAAATAACAGACCACAAACGTCACGTATACGTAGAATACACTGAGTGCCGACTTGATGAGACGAGCGAAATGCGCCATGTCGTCAGTCTGTGCTTCTTGTTGTACTTGCAGGGCCTGAATCTGATTCTTGTGGCGTTGTACCGTTAAGTAATTTTTGATGTTAACCAATGCTGTAAGAAAGAGCGAAAAAACTCCGAGGAGAAACTCCACAAGATAGTAAATATCGTATCCAGCCCAGAAAATCATCAAAGGAGAAAGCACACTAAGCAGCCATATTGAAATCACCTCAGCAACAACACGCTTGTGAGTCATAAGTTCCTGATATCTGAGATGAAGATGAATTGCCAAAAATCTGTCTAAACTTAAAACCACAACACCCAAGAACGACGCTAGACAAAACACGTGCACACTTATAATAATGGTAAACATCGTATATGCCTTAAAGCAGGGGTTGTTTTGTTGTAGCCACATGACTAGAAGTGAGATATAAAATGGTTGACTCTATAAACCAACGCCAACATCAGAAACAGCAAGACTCAGGAGCAACGTTTTTGAAGTCTTTGCCAACGACGAAGTTCTTCTTATCGGGTGGATTGTTACAATGTTCAAGATGATGGCGGTATAGGACAGAAAACTGTGAAAGAGACAATTAGCGATATAAGTCGAACGAAGGTCTTTAACTTCGGGGGTTTTGGGGTAATCACGTAGCAGTAATTCACAGGATATTTTCTCCATAATCGCCTGAAGTCTCCCTAGTGTCCAAGCGGTTGTCCAAACCAGTTTTTTTTTTCTCGACGCATCAGATCAACTGGATCACTTTGCCGCGAATAAATTCTTTACATGATACTGATTGTGACGGCAGTAAAGTGTCGTGTTTTCAGAAAACATAGCGCGATTAATGAAATGATAAATCACGTTTGCTATCAAATTGAGATAAAACTGCTAATTTGTACACGTGGGTGTTTACATCCGCTTTCAGTGTCACGTGCATAGCACCTATCTCGCGACATGCCATCTTTTGGCGTGCTATGTAACCTGGCCTACCTCAAAATCTAAGCACAAGTCGCTTTTTTACGGTCGAACTCGACTTTAAGTCACGAAAAATGGATTTATTTGACATCAAACTAAGGCTAGGAGCATCAAGATAACATTCTGTGAGGGATAAATCGACTGCTTTGAATGTTTACATCTTTCGAATATTAACTGAGCGGTAGCGGCCCGATTCTACCCGAAGTCACTATTGAGAGCCGATCGACTACACTAAAATCGTTTGAATTATTCCGTAAATCGGGAGTCCACAATCTTCTTCATTCATTTGAGGTCAGTAATTGTCATATACTTGTCATTGGTTCCGCTAATAACCGGAACACTCGCTAGTATCACATTTCACCCGTTTACATAGCATGTCGAAAGATGGAATGTCAAGAGATGGTCGAAAGATGTCGCCTATGCATGCAACACTCAAAGCGGGTGTAAAACCTTTCGAATAACTGATCACAATCAAACCAACAGGGATGGGTTAGCGGTCTCTGTGTGAAGTTTATTAAACAAGCCACATGTTAGTGAAAACCTAAAAAAACAATTCTTGAATTTCTAACCTTTTGAACTTAGTAAATGAGATATTGCTCAGAATATTATCGAGCAAAGATCCTTAGCTATATTCTCAGAGAGTTGATCGACAAAAATTTAATACCTTCATAACAGAATGTAATATTCATTATAATATTTTTTAATATTCGTTAATAATTTTCAAAACAAAAAAAGCAAAGAAAACAAAAGGGTGTCTTTAAAAAGCCTTTAGTATGTTAATTGATGGTGCACCTGCAAAATAGTGCCACTCGTATGTGCTGAGCATGTATCTCGCACGGCAAAAACTTCATCTCCAAAATAGATGTAACGCATTGTTTAAGCGAATGAGTACTATATGAAGAGAAACAGTCGTAAGGCAGAGCCGATTAAGGACGGTGCCTACTTCTGTTAATGCGCAGAGTTTCTGCGTATCACGCAAGGTATGGCTTCAGATATCTTGAGGTAGATCTGTAGCAGTAATGCACAAGATCATTTCCTCGGAACATCGATAGAAGTTTCTTTTATAGAACTTCTTTCGAAATTCGCTCTGTCGAATGTTTTTATGACACACATTTCAAATTTTGGGGAGAAATGAGAATGATAAGTGACGTTAGCTGTCAAATTGAGATGAAACTGCTATTGTATATATGTCCGTTTTGAATTACTGATCCATTAAAGCCAAGAAGGAAAATGTCAATGGTCTCTCTCTATGTGTGCATACTGTCTATTAAATAAGCTTTATCTTTTGCGAAAACCTAAAGCACTCTCTTCAATTTCGAATATTTTGGACGTGGTAAATGACCGACAAACAGCCGAAACACAACCGAAAAAAAAGATCCTTAGCTACATAACCAGGACGTTGGTCGAAAACAAGTTAGTACCTGCATTCAAGAAATTTCATGACTAAATTCGTTTTATATTTTCAAAAGAAAAAAGAAAAGAAAAACAAAACCATGTCTTCAGAAAGTCGCTTAGTAT